GAAAACCGAGAAACTGTCCAATTCCAGTAGACTAATCCACCGGGCTGGCCATTTTCCCTTGGCAACTGAACCTCTTGCTACCTATAAGACGGGCTCATGTACAAATGTTTTTAAACATGCAAAGCTGAGTCATGTCTTGAGAACTTGCACCTTCTTCGACCTTAGAAACAGCCTACTGCAAACTCCTGTACTTCGTTCATGTACTATCCGAACTACCCGCCTCTTGAAACGCAGTAGATGTGATCCTTATAGTTCACTTTCCGCAGTACAATGTCAGCAATTATCTCTCCCGATCCTTCGAGTGGCAATGTCCGCTTAATTCAAGCAGCACTGCCTCTAAACCTTCGATTATCTAAGCATAAATAGCGCGGTCAATCTTCAAAAAACTACTACTATCTTACTCAAGTTGTTCTATACTACGAAGTTATTTCATTCTGTTGGCTCTATCTAGCTCCTGCTTTTTTTTCTCCCTAATAATAGCCGATCGACCGACTGACTAACCAACTGACCGACCGACCGACCGACTTTACCAGTTACGAAATAACTGGCTCCAAACTGGCTTTGCCAGTCCAGAAAACAACTAACTGTAGAAATTTCATAGAAAGTGATTGACTTTTCTGGTCGAGAAGATTACCGACCAATAACACATTTAGCTAAAGAAAAGTTAGTCGGTTAGTGCTCGGGTAAAAGTAGCTCATCCTCGTCGGTTTATTAATCAGCTTGAGGCTCAGAGCAGATAGCTGAGCGTCGTATATCCGCATAAGGGTGCAACCGCAAGTCTGAAGTAATTTAGGATAAAACTCTCTAGGTATACAGTTCTAGGTAAGACTATAGCTTTGAGAATAACAGGACGTAGGGCTTTTTGGTTTGGTTGCCAATCATGAGTTAACCTATCGGTAAAGTATAGAGTCGGATACTGTTTGTGTTGTCCGTCCATGCTTCCGGCCAGCATCATTGGGCCCATGGCTTCTTAAGGATGCTGAAGGGAATGTGAACAGGCAATTAAACATCTACGCATTGCTCTGGAGGGGTGTTTTGTGTTTATGGAAATAATGATTTTCTCTATAGTTTTTACAATAGTTTCATCCTGTCCCAAGATTTCACTGTGTTCTTCAACATTGTCCACAATGCACATACCCCCCCCCCATATAATCATGACTTCCCTCCTTTCTCCGGCGTCAGAGTTTTTTTTTCATCATATCCGTCCTAAGCCCAACCCCTTCCAGAAAACCCCCAGTTGTCCCGGCACCTCAGCCAGCACCAACGCGACGGCCTTCATCCTGTTCCCCATTGCCCCTATCATCAACCACACGACGTTCTGCGGTAATAACCACGGGAGTGGATTAAACCGACATTGATACAGCATATAGTCTGACAGCTACCAAGGCTGGGGGGAGGGGTTGAATTGAACCGAATATCAGGCAGTAAAGACTAGGGCAGGTTGATGCCTAGGAAGAAGACATCGCTAGCACACGAAGGTAAGCTGATATCGCTAAACGATATGCCATTGAGACTTCGGGAAGCGGCCTCGGTCAACCTTTGAGGAACGGTCTCTGGAAGACTGGCGATTCAGCACCGCGTTGATGACGAGCTCCCAGATGGTGAGCTTTTCGTCATCCATATCAACTAGCTCGCACCACTTGGAATTGTGTTCTGGGAGTCTAAGTATGGGGACGTAACATACGCCATAGTCAAGAGATGCCCACGACCAAGTCGGAGGAAAGCGTTTCATTGGCGAGGAGCGGTCTAGAAAAGTGCCTTTGAACCAGGCCAAAGCCGCGGGAAACGTGCCGCGGAAGATGCCAGCGTGGTAGGTGCCCAGTAGCTGCTTATTGAGAAGCACCGAGGTGAGGGCACTGACAATAATTGACAATACTTGACAAGGCAGAAGTGTTTGTGGGAGGGTAGAGTTAGCTTATGACGACTATATTCCTTTTTAAGCGCGGTCCAAAGTTGGAATAGGTTGGATTTGGTTTTCTTGTCGCCTTTCGAGAGAAATGAGGAGTCTGAAGGCTATAACATTTTACTATCTGATTTAAGATTATCTGCCTCCCAGTTATGGTTTCCTTCTGAAGTCTGCCTGGATCAAAGTTTCGTGCTGCGAACATGGTAAGGTTCAATGCTTCGGTAGTTGGTCGAATATATGTTTGCCGAAACACCAGCAAAAGCCCCCTTTCACCTCACAACGACAGTCCCAACGTGTCTCGTTCTAAGTATATGATATCATGCGGCGTGAGAGAAGACAATCTTGAGATGTCCACGCCCGCGTCGGATAGGACTATTTTCGTGCTCAGCTTTCCACCACATTCGAACGTAAATATTCCCGGGGAGGAGAGAGTCAAGATCAACAAATTCAATATGACCCATCTCTTGGCTGAGAGATGTAAGCCAAACTCGAAGGGCTTGAAGAGAAGCATTACGCGGAATAATAAATGCTGTAATAACGATCAATCGAGTCTGCAGCGGCGATAGTCAAGTAGGCATTGCCGTAGACGCTAGCCATCTGGGCCGCCTCACGTTCCTAATCTCTCGGGTTCTCTTGGACGATGGTGAGCGCATCGATCCATATATACCGGAGGCCGAACCTGTAGGTAATGAGCATTGCATCTTGTAGTTTTTTTTGGGGGGGTGGTGTCTTTGTCTAGGGAATGCTAGATTTGAACTGATCGAGATTGGCCGTAGCTAACCTCAGAGGTAGAGCGTTCTCCCACGGATAGCTCAGCGCAGTGACGTATCTCCGAAGAGAGCTTTTGATCTCAAGAACAGATGGCTGTAGTCCGTTAGCGGTAAGGTTGACATCAACAACGCGGGTCGGCAGGACAACCTGTTCATTCTACCTGTATTGGGGTTGTAGTCCCTCGTATTGTGTAGCGTTCCGCATGCTTAGCAAAAGAGGAATAGGCTTGATCGATTTCGAACGGTGGTCAGGGATAGAATCGGAATCTGTAAAAGATAGGGAGACCGTAAATCAGAACCCCCGAATCAAGGTATACAGTAGGTACTGCACCCATCTCTTGGATTTACCGATGCCGAGGAAGTTGACTGAAACATTCTTACGTTCAAATCCCTCGTGGACAACCCAGCTCTTTGGTTAAGCCAAAAAAAAAAAAACGACACGCCAAATTGCCAGCCGGTTGTCGCATCCTTTTTATGCAGATTATCGAAACGTCTTCTGGCATGGACGAACACGTTCCATCACGTTCTCCGGAAAGAAAATTTTGCTCTCGTCCAAGTCCCAACAAAACTCACACGAATAGGGCAAAGGCAAATCGCCGGGAAGCAACCTGAAGTCTTACCGCTCAGAAGGCATGGTGATAGTCTTTTTGCAATGTTGCATGAAAGTTGCAACAAGATTTGACCCTAATGTCTAGGCTGTGGAAATGACGAGAGACTTCCTTAACTATATGCCTCCCCTTCCTCCTTTGGCTGCCCAGCTATGATATGATAGCCGCAGGCAGGCCGCCCATCTGGGCGGGCCAGCAGTCGTTAGTCTGCCAGGTTGCCACTCCAGCGACTTATGCCCTGTCCCTAAGCTTACACAGAGATCCAACAGACCTCCATTATATATAATTAGGCATATACGTAACCTGACTGGAGGAACAGTCCAATCAATCACTTGGCGCTGAGATACAAGTTGTATACTGGGGCTGGAAGCACCGCCAGAAACGTCGTGGCAATGCCGAAAGTGAAGCTTCATTTTTCACTTCGCCCCCCCTTAATTGCTGGTTTTTCTTCGTGAGTTGTTGTGGGAGATGTTGAGGGCTAAGTTTCTGGAGCTGGCTATAGGCAACCATCCATCGCTACTACACAACTTGGTTACTCTCGGGCTCCTATCCACAGGTGGGACCATTCGCATTTGTGCCTTTCAATCTCCCATCCTTGCTTGTGGAAGGGTGTGAGCGACATTGCTGAGATGATAGTTTCCAGGGAATTGGGGAGGTACGGTTGTAGCATACATCCTGTTCTCGGAGACCCATTCTCACCCCATTATCTTGCTGGTTCCGGATGTTTAGCCCATGTTATCCATCATAATTGGAAACTCGTGTTACGACAGTAGCAAGGACTTCTGACGACTGTTGATGTTGGGCGAGGTGGGCTGTGATCGGCAGCGGGTCCAATGCCGGGTGCTTCCCCCTGGGGGGGTTGTGGCCCCGTGGGGGGCTTAGGTGGGTTGCTGAGTTTAGTTTTCGGGCTGATTGGTCAAGCCAACATTATCGATAAAGAGCACTCCCCGCGGGAAGCTGATGCTACCATCCGAGGGAACATGAAGCAGTGCCATCCTCGGTTTCGAGTGTATACCGTTGATTTCTTGGAGATCTGGAGTGTTCACTGTATTTCTTAATAGTATGAGAACTCAATAACTAAAAAAAAAAAAAAATTGTCAATGCAGGGAGAGGATAGGACAAGCAGACATAACAAAAAGGTCCCTGAAAACCTCGGACCCATGGACCCACTTATAAAGTGGACCGATGATGTGGGAGCCTGGAGCTGCAGCGTGAGACCTGGGCTGACAGAGCAGCTTGGGACCGGGGGTTTTGGTGATTTCACAAAGTCAGAGAAACGCCAAAGGTGGATGCTCTAAAGCCCAAGCTGAAGCGGCTGCCGCATGCGCTGTGCTGCATGAGGTACCCGTGGACCCCGCGTCCTCTGCAGTGACCACACTAATGGCACCAATGGCACCCCGCAACGCCAAAATCCATCTTCAGTTCCCCATGCTCAGCCCAGGGACACGTGCCTTTTCTACTGTGCAAGCGGCTCGCTTGTCTCGCCCGTCCAGTCTTGTGTCTGCTGCTGTGGCTTCAGCCCCCTTGACTGGCTTTCCCCGCCGCTGTATCAATAGTTGTATCGGTCTTCTCCCCGTCCAGCGCCCAGTGCTGCCTCGGGGTCCGGTTCTGACAGCATACCGCTTCCTCTCCCGCCCTTCTTCTGTATCCTTGTCTGCATCAACATCGGCATCGACATCGACATCCTCTCCAGCGACTCCTGATAGGCCTATCACGATGGCTCCTCCACAGGCTGCTCTCGAGTTCCTTGACTTTGTGAATGCCTCGCCTACCCGTAAGCTCCTCAGTCTCCTCTTAACTAAAAGTCCCTGCTGACAATCCCCCAGCCTACCACGCGACCGCCAGCGCTGCGGCGCTCCTCGATGCCGCCGGCTTCACCAAGATCAAGGAGCGCGACAACTGGGCATCCACGGTTCAGCCCGGCGGGAAGTACTATCTGACACGCAACGGATCGTCGGTCGTCGCCTTCGCCGTCGGCAAGCGCTGGCAGCCGGGTAACCCCATCGGCATGATCGGCGCGCATACCGATTCTCCCTGCCTCCGAGTCAAGCCCGTCAGCAAGCGCTCCGCCAACGGGTACCTGCAGGTCGGCGTCGAGACGTACGGCGGCGGCATCTGGCATAGCTGGTTTGATCGGGACCTGAGCGTTGCCGGTCGTGTCCTGGTTCGCGAGGGGAGTGAGGGCGGCGAACCCAACTTTGTGCAGAAGTTGGTCAAGATCGATAAGCCTATCCTGCGGATCCCCCATCTAGCGATCCACCTGCACCGCGAGTCCAACTTCAACCCCAATAAGGAGGACGAGCTGTTGCCCATTGCCGGTTTGGTCGAGGCCGAGCTGAACAGGCCGGCCACTGAGACCGCCGACAGCGCCAGCGAAGCCGACTATCAGCCCTTGAAGGCCCTCCCCGAGCGTCATCACCCCAGATTCTTGGAACTGGTCGCCGAGCAAGCCGGCGTAGACGTCTCCCAAATCGTCGACTTCGAGCTGGTCCTCTACGACACCCAAAAGGCCTGCATAGGCGGCATGAACGACGAGTTCATCTACTCCGCGCGCCTGGACAACCTTAACTCGACCTTCTGCGCCATCAAAGGCCTCATCACCTCCGTCTCAACCGTCCCCCTCGACAACGACAAATCCATCCGTCTTGTGGCGTGCTTCGACCACGAAGAAATCGGCTCGCTCTCGGCGCACGGCGCCGACTCGAACCTCCTCCCAGCCATCCTGCGCCGCCTCTCCGTGACCCCCTCCCTCTCCGACGCCTCCAACCCCCCATCAGCCTCCTCCACAGCCTTCGAGCAAACCCTGTCAACCTCCTTCCTCCTCTCCGCCGACATGGCGCACGCGGTGCACCCCAACTACGCCGCCAAGTACGAGCGCAATCACACCCCTTCCATCAACGGCGGTCCTGTGATCAAGATCAATGCCAACCAGCGGTATGCCACCAACTCGCCTGGTATTGTTTTGCTGCAGGAGGTGGCGCGCTCCCGGGCCGTGCCGCTGCAGTTGTTTGTGGTTAAGAACGACTCGCCGTGTGGGAGTACTATTGGGCCGATGTTGAGTGCTAAGCTTGGGGTGAGGACGCTGGATATGGGGAATCCGCAGCTGGCGATGCATAGTATTAGGGAGATGGGGGGCGTGAAGGATGTGGAGTTTGCGGTGAGGCTGTTTGAGGGGTTTTTGAGCCGGTTTGGGGAGTTGGAGGGGAGGATTTTGGTTGATTGAGCGGTGTTGGATATATCGTTAGCAAAGGTTGGATGGGTCAACCGGATCGATAGGATATATACCTGGTGTGGGCGAAAATTGAAATGAAATATGATGAAGCGAATTCTGTGATCAAGGGGTCCGTCCAAGTCTGACTTCTATGAGACTAAGCACGAGTGTAACGGAAAAAAAAAAAAAAACAAACATATCAATGTGGTGTTACGGTAAGGTCCAGGGATAGCGAGGGAGAAAACCTGAAAGAGATCATAGAAAGGCTTGTAGTCTTGCACATTTGACCCATCAACACGAGGAGCCAAGGGTATCATCTTGATGCTAAATTTTAAGGGGGGTGTGGATATATACTATACTATATACACAAAAAGTCCCAAGATACAGTTTTCGTTTCCTACTCGTAACATTTCAATCTCACCATTCGCATGAGTGAACAGAGTTGTTTTCACTCCCCCCCTTCCCCCCTTACCATCCTACAGTCTGGATCTCCTACTTAGTTCCAAAACCAACCTCCATTCCCATCCTTCTTATTCCCCTCCCCCTCCCCCTCCCCCTCCTTCTTCTCCTTGTTCTCTTCCTCCCCCCCCTTCCTAACCCACGAACTCTGTTGCCGATACGTTTCACTCCTCTGGCTCCTGACCACCCTCCCCTCCTCATCCGTCCACGTGGTTTCGTGCACGACGTGCGTCGTCCCCTTGCCGTCGTCGTACTCCTTCTTGGTGACGCGCTTCATCAGGCCGTCTTCCATCGACTCGGTCGTTTCGACCTTGGTTGGATTAGACCCGGCTGGGTTGTTGGAAGAGGAACGAGGGATGGGAGGGAAGGCAGCGGCGTTGGTCGCGTCCTTCCATGCGTTGGAGAAGGTCTTGAAGAAGGTAGAGAGGGAGCGGTGCGTGTCTTCGAAGGCGGAGCGAGCGGATTCGAAGAGGTCTAAGTCGGTGTCGGGGTTGTGGTTCTCGTCCTTTTTGTTATGGCCGTGGCGGGGGAACAGGTCGTCGAACGCTTTGAAGACAGACTTGATCTCATCGATGACGCTGTGGCCGTCCTTCTTGCCGTCCTTGTTCTCGGTCGAACGATCTGATAGGCCGAAGCTCTCCAGCATGCGCTCCCACTCCTCGCCGAACGACTCATACGGCTTGTTATCCAGCCGCCTGCCCCAAGCATCTTGCATCGCCTTGCGCCGCTCAGCCTCCCTCCGCCTAAACTCGACCCACTCCTCCATCGTTTCCGGACTGCGATACCCCCCTTTCCCCAGCTCCTGAACCGGGAAATACACCTCGTTCAGCCGCCGCTCGTGCATCCTCCTCAACCAAGCCATCTCCCTCCACTCCCTGCTCCCCGCCGCTCCGAACGTCACCGGCCCGTAGACGCCGCCAAACCCGAACCCCATCCCAAACGGAAAGGTAAAATGAAACGGCCTCCACACAGCCGTAACATCCTTCTCCCCCTCATCCCAAGGAAGTCCACGACTTCCAAACGCCCATCCCTCAAACAACTCGCTCTTCTCCCGCAAATCGCTCATCCTCTCCACCCCCGACTGTGCGAGCATCAGATCCTCAAACGCATCTGCCCACCCGAACTGGCTTGTATCCAGTCCCGGATCGTCGGGGCAATACGGGCGCGGCCGCCATCCCAGCTCGCGGTCCAGGCGTAACGGTGAGTAGGTTGAGTGCCGCAGAAACAGGCGCCAGGCGAGGTCAGCTTCGGGACGCGTACCGCCTCGGAGCAGGGAGAGCCGGGTTTCGAAGTGGGCGGTGGCGGGGTCGAGGGGGGCGGAGGGGAGGTTGTCGGTAGAGGGGACGATGGCGTCGGAGGGAGTTTGGGTGTCGCTAGAGGCTGGCAAGGACTGGGGTGGGGAAGGGTTGGAGGAGGAAGAGGCGAAGGGGTTGATGGTGTTGAGGCCGGCTTGGATGTTCTGGTTGACGTGTTGGGCGAAGCGGATAAAGGGATTGATGGGGGGGTTGTTGTCGTCAGAGGAGCTTCCCATAGCTAGAGTGTCCTTCTCTCGATGTCTTCTTGCTTCTTTTTGTCGTACTTCAGTGATTTGGATGAGATGTCGCTGTGTAAGGTGATGACGATGCGCAGATTTTGCAAACAGTTCTTCGTTGTTCGGTTGATGTCGAAGCCGCCGGGTGAAGACGGCATCCCGGCTTTCACTTGAGTCCAGCTTTCATCGAGGATGGCCCCCACTTGATTATGTAAGCTAAGCCACCGATTATGTGGGTACCCCGCTGTGGGGCAGCTGCAGGGGTGGGAACTTGTGCAGCTGACACACTGTGCAGACGTCATTGCTCAGTGAACAGTACGTTAGCTTTGCCACTCCGCCTGAGAAAACTGGGTGGGTGGGGAGAGGAATATCTTATTTAGATGGCTATAGTTCAATTGAGGCTGCTAAATCTCCTCTTTAGATCCTTTGCAACTGTACTTGATTGTTCCCTAGCCAGCTAGGCATCATGATCTTTCACATGAAAACAATCATGCAGGCCCTATACATACAGTGCCTTACAATATCGACACTGTAACGGTCGCCAGGGTACATACAGATCGGCACTAGCATCGCTAGTGACGACGCGAAGCCGCGAGTATGTGTAGAGGTAATTTTAGGTTACGATGGCGATGAAATGGATTTACTTTGTTAATTGCCATGCCAATTTGCACTTCATAAATCCCCCCTTTTTATGCAATGTAATTTTTACAGCTCGTTTCGTCCTTGCGGCTTCTTTTAGGCTGAGCTGCATGCACTATTGCCCCCGCTATTTGCATTTAAAAATAGGTACTGTGATAGCTCGCACGAACATGGTCTGATAGCCAATGGCAGTTTAACCGTGACCCAAGTTGTAAGAAAAAAAAAAAGAAGAGAAAATCGACCAACTTCAAGCTGCGGTTCGCTCGACCAACAACTACGACGACATCTCCAGATCAAACATCGCTGGTCACACAGTCCATCCATGACACCCGACTTCCATCCGCGACCCCGCTGTGCCTGGACCGCGACAGGGGCGATCTACCACGATACCTGATACCTGATGCTTGACTGATACCTGATGCTTGACATTGCCCCATCTTCTCAGCTTTTTTCGACTAGTACATTGCCGACGAACCCATTGATTGATTGATTGATCGCGATCGATCAATGTATCTAATGCATCTCCCAGAAAATCGGATCCCAATGGGACCTATACCGCCCGTCGAGCGAGCCTGGCCATGGCAGTCCAATCCCGACAATGGCGACAGCCCCGACGAGCTCCAGAACTGGTCCAGCCTGATCGGCATCATCATCGCCATCTGCGGTAACGTGCTGATTTCGCTGGCCCTCAACGTTCAGCGATATGCCCACATCCGGCTACATCGCAAGCGCCTGGAGATTAGAGAGCGCGCGCGACAGGCGAGGAAAGCGGCGAAGAAGACGAACGGGACGGGAGTGTACGGCGCCGGGGGGCAGACCCAAGGACAGGGAGCATCGAATGGGCATACCGCGACAGCAAATAGCAGCTCAATCATACCCATCATCATCCCCCCCAAAGACGACGACCGCTTCCCCTCCGAAACCGACCCTCTAACGCAATCCTTCCAATCTGACAGCTCCTCCTCCAGCAACGCCCCCTCCGATGACATTACCAACACCAAAGTCGCATCAACCTACCTCAAAGATCCCTACTGGTGGCTCGGCCAAGCACTCATAACCGTCGGTGAATTAGGCAACTTCCTCGCCTACGGCTTCGCGCCTGCGTCCATCGTCAGCCCCCTCGGCGTGGTGGCCATCGTGTCCAACTGCGTCATTGCGCCGCTGTTTTTCAACGAGATATTTCGCGCGCAGGACTTTTGGGGTGTGCTGATCTCTGTGGCAGGGGCTGTGACGGTCGTGTTGAGCGCGCAGACGGAGGAGACGAAGTTGGGACCGCGAGAGGTGTGGGAGGCGATTACCACGGTTGAGTTCGAGGTTTATACGGCGGTGTGCTGTGCGTTTATTGCGACGTTGATGTGGCTTAGTCCGCGGTACGGGAGCAGGACTATCCTCATCGACCTCGGGCTGGTCGGTTTGTTTGGAGGGTACACGGCCCTAGCGACCAAGGGCGTCTCCTCGATGTTGTCGTCCAACTTTGTCGCAGCCTTCACGACGCCTATCACCTACGTCTTAGCCTTCGTTTTGCTGTCCACAGCACTCATGCAAGTCCGCTACTTGAACAAGGCCCTCCAGCGCTTCGACTCGACCCAAGTCATCCCCACGCAATTCGTGCTCTTCACCATCAGCGTCATCATCGGGAGCGCGGTACTCTACCGCGATTTTGAGCGGACTACCGCCAATCAGGCACTCACCTTCGTGGGCGGATGTCTCTTCACCTTCTTCGGCGTCTTTCTTATCACCACCGGCCGGCCGCGCCAGGATGTGGAGGAGGAAGGCGAGGACGAAGTTGAGGAGGTTGAGGAGGTCGAGAGGGAGGAAGAGACTGTCGGTCTCGCTCCCGCCCCGCCAGTCTACCCTCAAACACCTCCTTCCCCTCCCCGGCGTACTTCAACACGCTCGACTCGCGCGCGTAGATCATCCTCTCGGGCTTCCTACTCCAGCATTGTATCTGCCCTCTGGAAGCCATCTGACTCTTCTAGTGGTTTATTCACTCCCCGCAGCCAGTGGCAAAAACCTCAATCTCTCACTGCTGAACCCGCTTCAGAAGCAGTTCCATTACTGGGTAACCTCTCCGAAGAACCTCCAACCACAACCCCTAGCACAGAACCCCGGCAACGTCCAACGACTCCATCCCACCGCGGCTCCCTCACCCTCGCGGCGCCCTCAACCCCAGCCCGCACACCGCGCACAGGTCCCGCGACGAGACCATCAACCTCTTACGGCGCATATGCCTGCCAACACCATTACCATCATCACCCACATCCTCACCCAGTATATTCCCCGTCTCCGTTTTCTTCGACTCTCTCGGCTGTGGTGGCAGATACGTTGCTTGCGCATACACAGTCTGCTTCGTATGGCCGCCCCCAGTACGGGAGTGATGATATTGAAGCGCGCACGGGGTCCGCTTCCGGGGCTGAGGCACAAAGTCCGTTGGCGTTTCCAACCCTTGCGGGGCGTGTAAGGTTCTTGGGTGGTGGGGGAAGGAGCGCTCGGGGGAGTAGTACGAACAGGGACGGGATCACGGGTGGCATGGGAAGGGTGAGGAGTCTGAGTATCACGCTGGGGTTGGCGGGGTTGTTTGGGGGCGGGAGCCAGCCGCAGCAGAGTAGGAGGGGGGGAGTTGCGAGTGAGCCTTTGCCGGGGCGGGTCGCTGTGCCGGAGGTTAGGGTTACAGAGAGTGAAAATGAGGATAGGACGGTTGATGAAGACGGTGAGAGGGAAGATCTCCCTCCATATGCTGCTGAGTCTCGGTCTGGCTCTCCGTACGGGACTAGAAATGGAGAAGAGGGCGAGAGCTTTCAGGCTGCTGACAGTTCCGGGGAAAGGGGGGATGGGGATGGGGATGGGGATGGGGATGTGCTCACTAGGGCACACACCACAGCCCATTAGACGTCCTTGACTCCTTCTCGGTCTCTTACGACCAGGCCCCACGACTTTCGCTCACGTTAGCCGAGTAGCTATACGGGCTAGTTGCCCTTCTCACTCTTCGCTCATACACTCTGGAGATTTCCCTCGGTCTCTGGCTCCAATCAGTCAGCGCTGTTTCGGTTCATCTGACTTTAACTTTTTTTTTTTTTAATTCTTCCCTACATACCCCTTTAATAATGTCTTCCACGGATGAGCAGAGCAATTGGCAAGGGGGTACGGGTTACCCGTTTGTTGGGTCACAGAATACCTACCTACCTACCTTGAATCATTAACCTCTCTTTCGGTCAGAGAGGACAAATAGCTGAAGCAAATGGGCGGCATAGGAAGGGTTCGGTCACTTGTTCGGGTTATGTTCATCATAGCATGTCAGATCATTTTGGCATTGGGTCGGCGTTAGAAGATCGGGTCATATTCTAATCTTTAATACAGTGTGGCTGTTTGGGTTTTGTCGCGATATCCATGGTATTTCTGTCCTTTGTGCTTAAAACTGGTTGAAATCGCGAGCACGTAGCTCTTTGAAATTGGGGGTCTTAGTCGTTTATTCTTCAAGAGCTAGGGTCAAGAGGGAGAAACTTTGACTTCATATCAAATTGAAGCATTGATATTTACGAACTACTCTAATCAGTCATCCTAGTTAATAATCCACATATCCACATTCACTTTTTTTTCCTTTCACCATTGAACCAAAAGCCACCCAAACTTCTTCCATGTAAATGGTATTAACATATAAAAGTTGAAACTGGTGTATTTTGTTTTGATATCTCAACGTAAAAAAAAAAAAAAATTATAAGATGAGAATTAACAACTTTGCCTTCCATTCCAAGTATAAGCCGAAACCTAACCACCCAGCCGAAAAAAAAAAGAAAGCAAAATCATTACAATAAGGTATACCATCCGGTATCTTGAAACCTTCCTATGCCGTACTCCTGTCCAACCAAATCCAATTTTCTCTCATCTCCTCATCTCCTCCTCACGTTTTTGGCTTCCTCCTCATATATCTCATCTGCTTCTCATCCGCTCATCTCATGCTTTCCATCACTCATATCCCCTCCTCCCCCCTCCTCATTCTCTCCCCACTCCTTTCCCCCCCTCAACCTTCAATTCCCCCCCCCCCTCTCTTTTGTCTTAGACTGCGAACCAGACTGCAACCTCCTCAAAGCCCCCCGATGCATCTCCATGACTTCCTTGCCCCCAAAAACCATCCTCGTCTCCCACTCCCGCTCTATTCTCTTCTTCTCTCTAATCTGTGCCTCTCTTCGCGCTGCCTCGGCCTGCCTTTCACTCAACAGTTTACTCCGGCGCAGCTCCATCGTTCGTAACGCCTCGGCGCGCTCCTGCTGTTGGCGTTGGGCTTCGGCGGCAGCGGCGTTCGAGGGGATGAGATTGGTTAGGGTCGGGTTGGTGGTGGTACCATTGAGGTAAGGGGTGTAGGATTGGTAGGTATGCTGCAATGATTGCAGGGACGGATTAATATTCAGGTTCAGGTTGAGCGACGACGGCCCAGCCCCTGGGGTCGGGGAATGCCCGCGGCTGATAATCGGCGGGGGAGAACGGGACTGCAAATCGGCAGCGACGCTGGCGCGGAAGGAGGCTAGACGGGCTTGGCGGGCTGCTTCGGGGGTTAGTTGGGGCGTTGTGGTTATGGGCGGCAGAATGGGAGTTGGAGTTGTCGGCATGACGGGCGCGAGGGTGGTTTGGACGAGGGGGGCGGGAGCTGCCAACCCCGGGTTCGTGCCCATGGTGGTAGGGGGAATGGGAGTTGGAGCGCCAGTTGAATGGTTGCTCAAGACGCTGCTGCTCCGTTGGAGGAGGGCACGACGCTGGGAGAGAGGCAGGTCATCTAGGTCGGCTGACGGGCGGGTAGACGGGGGGCTGCCGGAAGAGGACTGGAGTCCGGGAGAGACGGGGTAGTTCCGGACGGAGCCGGCGTCAGAAGCGGGACGAGCTGCCTCGTATGGGATGTGCAGAGTCGTGTCGTTTGCGAGGCCGTTATTGACAATCGAAGCGCGAGTCTTGAGCAGCATCTCGCGCATGCCGATCAGAGTCTGGGGCTTGGGCTGTTGTTGGAGTGCAAGAGGTTGTTGGGCGTCCAGCAGGTCAGGGAAGGAGGCCGAAGAAGACACTCTGTAGTATCCACGAGCCGGATTCTTCCCCCCTGACTCTACAGTCTGCTCGTTTTTCCGCACGCTCATACCCGCACTCACCTCCTCAGCAATAGCCTCCTCCTGCAACCCCCTCGCCATCGCCGACGCCGACCTCCGATTTACCTTATTCGCCGTCGGCGGGTTCGGGAACAGATACCCAGCTAGATCAGGATAGCTCGACCCGGACGTCCTACCACCGGTAGACCCGCTGCTCGAGTAGTACTGCTCATGCCCTGACATCGCGCTGACCCTCTTTGGCAGCACAGCCGGCGGGACGGACGCGTTCTGCGGCGTCATCTGCAGGTCCCTAACATCCACCGGCGCAGCCTGTTCGCCGTCAGGGGACACCGCGCGGCCTTCCTCGATAGTCAGGGGATCCGGCTCGGGAGTTTCGGCGGCATCCAGGTGCTTCGCCCACTCCTGCATGCGGTAGGTGAGCGCAACCTGTGGGAAGGCAGGCGGGAGATTGGACTTGGTCAGCCGGGCTAGCGCAGTCCGGAAGGAGACATTCGATTCGGCGTCCTTGTTAGATCTTGCCTCCTGGTGCTGCTCCTCAACTGGCTTAGGATCGACCGGCGTGTGACCCCATGGTACGAGGAAGCCCTCCGACTTGCTGCGCCGCACGGAACTCCTGCTGGGCGTAGAGATATCCGGCAGACTGGATGACCGCGACAAACCCCTCATGCGCCGCGGCTCTGGCACGGTCGCCAGCGTCGCCCTTACCATCTCCACTGCCCGGGCCGTCAGTTCCTGGGCTGAAACATCTGAGGTGAGCTGGGATGTCCTCTGCCCCAGCGTCGAGGGAACAGTCAGCTGCGTCTTCTGATCCAGCGCCATTCTCCTCGCGTCATCAGCCGAGTAGTCCAGATCAAGATCGTCGTCATATTGACCCCTGTCGGACCCGAGCGAGTCCAAGGTGGCCGCGATCGAGTCAGAATCGGCGCGCAACGGCTCCTGCGGTTCTATCGGCGGCGCGTAGTTGAACACCGGCTTCGCTGGAGTCGAGGTAGCGGGCACGCTCTCGTGCCCGGGAACCGGGCTGATCATGGCTGACCTTGGACGCCTCTCCGATCTGGCGGGCAGCTCAGGAGGGACTGGGATTTCTGGCTCCTGACACACGTCGGTCTCGTCAACCGTTGCCGCAACAGACGACCTGTCTCCGTCATCATGCTCTGCGTCGACAGGGATAGACGGCGTCTGGTAGTCAGTTTGGGGTGTCATCGGGGGGTGGTTCTCAGGAAGGACCATCGAATCTGGTGTCATCCTTTCTCGTGCCATCATCTTCGGTGCCATTGCCGGATGTGCCGTTTCTGGAGGCGTCTGTTTTTTCGCCACCTTTCCTTGGTCGTTATCCTCCTCGATACCTTGAACCCCACTGTCTCTGCCATCATCATCATCATCATCATCATCATCATCATCATCATCCGGCACCTGTTGCTCACCCTCCCCATCTTTACGTTGCCCCTTCCCCTCCCCTTCAGGCCCATCCTTCGCGACGCTTCCCTCCGTCGACGTCTTCCTCGTCTCCGGCGTGCCGATCTCCGTATCCGACGACCGTCCATTCCCATATATCTTCTCCCACTCCTCCTTCTCCCTGTTAATCTCTTCCATCTGCCGCCGCTGCATCGCCTCTTCCTCATCACTACCCGGTAGCTCTTCCTCCTCCTTATCCGACGGCTTATTGCCCTTCTCCCTCCTCTCCCTGATAATCCTCCATATCTTAACCTGCGACATGGCGCCCATCACAGCCAAGATTACCGTAACCGCCAGCTCGACCCGGATCCCCCTCGTCAGCGGGTACGTCACGGTCCCGTCTGGAAACAACTTATCGTTCAGCTCCCACAGATAAGCCCAGAACTCGCGCAGCCCAGCCCGGCTGAAGCAATCAATACCCAGCACGACCGCCGTAGCACCTGAAAAAGCGATACATCCCACCGACCCATACCTCCTCGTCCACCGACTAAAGTACAACGAAAACGCCGCCACCATAAACACCGCGATAAACACGATCTTCAAGCTCTTCTTCTTCACCAACCCTCCGGGCGACAACGTCAGCAGCCACATGCTAAAACAGAACCCTCCCAACAAACAGCCGAAGCAATCGAACACGTCGATCAGCACGACAGCCAGGCCGCCCAGCACGGCGCCGGTGAACACGGCCGCCACGACGAAGCCCCCTTGTACGGCGTTGGAGACGGGGGGCGTCATGAGGTAGAGGATCAGGACAGTCGTGCCCAGCGCGCCGAGGAAGGCCGTGCCGAAGAAGGTGTGCCAGCGCTTCGCGCGGATGCCGATCAGGGTGTAGAAGAGGCCGGTGATGAGGAGGATGGTGCCGGCGACGGACCAGCCGGGGGTTATGACTGGCTTGAGGGGGAGTTGACCCGCGGGGATCGTGGCTGCGAGAGTTAGCAAGTGGGTATAATCATATATGGGTTTCCAAGTTTGAGGACGTACTGTTTAGGAGGTCCACGATGGACGTGACAGTTGGGGTCGGCTCGCTCATTGTTCTCGTGGCATTTTGAAAGACGGATGAATTCATGGTTGGCGACGGAGTGGTCTCACTCTCGATAGTCGTTGCCGTCGCCGTTATCGACAACAACGACGCCGTGCTCTGCTCTCCATCGTCCTGCTCTTGTCTTCTCCCCAAAGCTCGTGCATCAACCGCAGTAAGGATAGCCAGAAGACACAGGCACAGACAGATCAGAGTCTTGCCCCACGAGCTTGACGATATACTCATGTCTTCCGTTGACACCTATACTGCAGTGAAGATTCGATGTTGGAAGAGAGTTTTGAGAGTAGGCATACAACCTACGATGAAGTTTCACCAGCTAGCTGAGGTCACCAAGCCTAGAAACCACCGGACGAAGGGAAGCAAGGAGGGGGGGGGGGAGGGGGGAAAAGAAGGGACTCCTAGGATCATGAGGTGAAGGGCTAATTTTGAGCCACCATAATCAAACGCAGGACGTGATCCTGCGGTATAACAGAGGCAGTGGGATATTGGGAGAGTTTAGGGAAACCAACAGAACCAGCACGAGAAGTCAATACTTCAGCATGGACATACGGCAGCCCACAACAAACATCTGTCCACCGCCGGCTCGTTCAGAGATGCCGTTTGCGCGGGCATCGTCGGCACGAGTCCGAAACACGTTTCGACGGGCATCCCGGTGGCTGCCGTCTGGGCAAGTTCAGCTGTCATGTCGGAAATCGATTGGGCAGTCAGACGCCGGAGGGACGTCAACAACGTCACCGTCAACACCGATACCCGGCTGGAGCAGCAGAGCGGCATTAGCCGTCATGCTAACGCAGGGGTTTGTGGGGTTGCAGAAGGAAGGGATCCAGCTCAGGGACTCGCGCTTGGACTGGCAGACAGGATGACAAGGGACGTTGCGTTCGTTCCATATCTCAGCTTAAGTCACCACGACATGTTCAGATCATCAGATGACACCGTTACAGCGAGGACGTAAAAAAGGTTCATGCCCGAGGCTAAGACGCCGACGCAACTGCCGATGCTCGACAAAGATCTCGGGCTTGGGGCTCAAACATGGCAGTGGTCGAGGATCAACGAGCCGATCCTCGGGAGTCCGGGTGAGACACGTCTCGAGGCAGGCTAAACGGCTTGGACTCCCGGGCTTCTAGGAGATCTCTGAGACCGTTTGGGCTTTGCGCGGCCCGGGCTACCTCATAGACATTGATTTTTGTCGTTTGTTCGCCTCGGTTTGGAGCCAACCAGCCACCAGCCACCGATTTCTTTAGACTCTGGACAGCAGCTTCCGCGATCCCTCGGCGATTGCAAAATTTTCTCGAGCGAGCTCCAATCCTAAGCAAAAGTCTAATGGTTGTCGGCTTGTGAACGGTGCCTGACTAAACCTTCCTGGGGCGGCTTTGACAGCTGAAAAGCACATGGCCAAGGCGCGGGATGCAACATGGATGGCGATCAGGGCGCGCACGAGCAAACGTCAGTCCGCCCGCAAAGGGCAAAGAAAACAAGAGGAGAAAAATGAGCAGGAGGAAGCGCTATGGGTACAGGCCTTTCTTATTGCTTGGTTTGAACTGTAGTAATGTCGACCAACGACAATGCAGCTAGTCTGAGCGCAATATGCGTGATACTAGCAGGAACAGGTGATGCGCAGGATTTTTAGTTACGAGACAAGCGTGATATGGGAAATTGAACAACGCAATTGTCAGGCCAATGTCGACTCGAGCTGTCGACCTCGAAAACCCCGCCCCTTGCATTAGGGCGGTGCCAAGATTTTCTGGTGGAGCCGACCCCAGATTTGTGGAGGATCCCGACTTCACTGGCCCCTCCCGGCCCACCAGGGTCTTCCCCACCATGTCCGGCTCGACTCCAACAGCACCAGCTTCCATCCACCATTAACGACGGCATTGTGAGGATAGTCCTGGGTTTATAGTTCTATTTGAATAGGATTCTTATTTGAAGAGTGTAACTACTGTAAGTCTGCTGGATTGAATCTCTAGTCAATTGAGAATGCGGCTTTGTTTTGCAGAGGACCCTTTCAGCCTTGACTCTTCCCCACCAGGCAGCAACATTAGGCAACAACACCAGGCAACAGCCTCAACTAACATCACATGCTCTCTCCTGGTTAAGGACTCGAGATCGGATGACTTGAGCAATGAATGGGAGTTGAAGAGCTTTTCCGAGTTCAAAGCTCACAGACAGCAACTTTATTATTTGATCTGTTTGATAGTCCTAGCACACAGGTAGACGCACGTTCATTGTCACCATCACTTTGTTTTTTTTTTTCAAGACGCTTGATGAACCTTCACAACCGGAAGGTTATCATCACTTTCAGAACTATCCGGGTAGGTACCTAAATCAAGAAAGTCTGTGAAATGGAAGGCCGCTGTACCACATCCATCACCCCAAGACTGTGGGGGAACACAGCGGTGACTCTACGCCCAAATCTGGGAAGTGTGCGTGCAAGACCCATCACTAATTGGGGTCATGTTTTTTCTTGGTTCAACCGCAAGCACCATCGAGACCGTATTCAACCCAAGACATCCGATGCCAATGAGCGGTGAGGACAGCACGTCGCATAACCACTCACAAAAGCAAAGAAACAAATCGGGAATGTCATAATGAGCTGCCAGTTGGTCGTCTACCTCGATCAGAGATGGGTATCCCGCAAGCGTAGGGCAAGCCAGGCTCGTACGGCTCGTATACAGATGGCAAAGATTGAATAAGAAGAAGAAGAAGAAAGTTTGAAGAGGAGGCTGACCGGGACCGCACAACCCAGGTTAATGCGCCCATCTTCTTCAGGCTACTATCTATTTACTTATTTACTTTACAGCCATGACGCCGGACCATGCTTCCGTATGCCATGTCTCAGACGCGATACGTCACCTTACCCTCAACCAGCAGCAATCCTCCAACCTCTTTGCCACAATGTGTCACCGATAATATTGACCGAGATCCAGTGCTGAGAACCGGGCCCAACCACCGAGTCCTCACACAAGCGGCATGCCGATCCTACTCTCCGAAACTTCAAAGCCCGGGCGGGTGGGAACCTCCATCCATCCGTCCTGCCTGCCTACCTCCTCCCCCACCCCCCCCCCTTCT